ACTAGCAAAACAAGCGAACTAAATTCACCAACAAATACATCTCACAAAAATAAAGTTTGCCCACCTCTTCGCTAATTTATGACTGCAATAACACATTATTGATGTTAACATATTACCATTAATTTCAATTATTAAAATTAACATTATTTACCTTAATATAATTTGGAATTATGTTCCTTGTCCACAATAAACCAAAATTATTAATTAGGTGTAAAAGACTTTGTTGTTCGTTTACAATATGATTCTGCTCAACAAGATGAAAGCCAAAAAAAAAAAAAAAGTCTTATGAGGTAGCATGACCTAATCTATATTGTACTTTATGAAGCACGTTCAATGAAAAAGGTCAGCCTTGTAATCTACATGTTTTTCGAAGAAAGAAGGAAGACATTTGTTAGCTACTAGGGCTGCCAAATAGCTTACTTGATGGTGCAGATTCACTTTCACTGTTATGTCTTGAACTGGTAGATTCAGAGTTCAAACTAAGAGTGCTGGGAATAGAAGAGAGTTCATTGCAGAGTTGCTCCACATCATCGGGAACTACTGGCCAAGGTTGCCTTCGACTGTGTCTTACTGCATCCCAATTGTGATGTTTCAGAATATCACAGCCTTGCTTTGTTTTCGCTATTAGGCCAAGCACATAGACACAAGTCCTACATTTAAAGAATAAAAGTTAAATGAAAATCTATTATGAAGTTAAGTGGTAATGCAATGCAGTTGAACTCTAGAAAAATGTTTTCTCTGTTCCTTTTGAATTTGCTGTCCCAGGTCTCCCTAGGGCCATGATGGCGAACGTATGGCTCCCTGTGTGGGCACGCAAGCAGCTCCAGGGCAGCTCCACTGCGAATGCACACGCACCTCCTTCCACCAGCTGATTTTTGGGTCTGCCGTGCAAGTGCGTGACGTGTGCGCATGTGCTGGGGGGTTGCAGCACCCCCTATGCTTCATTTTTGGCACCAGGAGGCTTCAGGGAGGGCCTCAGGAGCCCTGAGGGAGGCCATTTTCACCCTCCCAGAGGCATGAGGAAAGCCTCCGGAGCATGGGGAAGGTGAAAACTCCTCCACCAGCATGGGGTGGTGGTGGTGGTTGCTCGCTCATGTGTGGGTGGGTGGTTGCGTGTGCATGTGTGGGGTGGTCGTGTGTGCATGTGCAGGTGGGCGGGGGACATTGCATTGTGCACACACAATTTCGGCACGTGAGGACAAAAACATTCACCATCACTTGTCTAGGGATTTTCAAAATAATCAGCATGAAACACTGAACCCCCCCCCCCAAACATTACAACAGTACTCAAGTTTTTACTGCAACAAAAATACAGATCTACTAAATAACTGGGGAATAATATCAACAGTTTTAATTAATGTATTTCATTTTTTCCTTGCTTAATTACACCTGAATGAATAACCTTTTTAACTATTTACTGTTAAATAGTTAAACAATTTACTGTTAAACTATCTGAACACATTTAGAACTTAAAACAGAGAAACTGTGCTTAAGCTCCAACACCTTTCAAATTGCTTAAATTGCTTTTGCATTTACTTCAACTGGAGGAGGTAGCTAATATTTCAAGATGAAAGAAAGGCAATTAAAAAAGGGCTAGGCAGTTTGAGAAGTGGGCTGAAATGATTAAGATGGAATTGAATGGAGAGGAATCTAAAGAAGGAAGAAAAAAAAGTAAGGCACAAATATAAGATGGGGGGGGGGTGAGGATGGCAGTATGATGCAAGAGCTACCAAGAATTATTGTGAATTACAATCTACGACAGCACTGATGCAATTGCAAAAAAACAAAAACAAAAAATGAGAGCCAAATGGTATCCTAGGGTGTATTAACAGAAACACAGAGTCCAGATGGCAGAAAGGAATTGTTCTCTTCTATCTTACCTCGATTAAATCTCACGTGGCATATTCTATCCAGTTCTGAACACTACCTTTTAAATAGGATAGTGACAAATTGGAGCAAGATCAAAGGAATGCTACCGAAATTGTAAAAGTTCTAGAAACCACCCTGTGAGGAATAGTTAAAGGATATGGGTATATTTAATCTACTAAGTCTCTTCCAATATAATAATCTCAAAACTGTCACTCTGGAGACGGAGTGAACTTATTTTCTATAGCTTCAGAGGGCAGGACCAGAATCAATGGATTAAATCTTGAAGGAAGCAAGTTCATGCTACATGCCGAAAGGAAATTCCCGACTATACAAATTGTCAGCTGTGGACCAAAAAATAGCTAGTTCTCCATGGTGATGGTTTCAAACCATAACAACATTTTAATTGAAATGTGAGATATCCTTTGCTAGAGGCCTTCCAACAGACTGAATGGTCATATATCTAAGATGCTCTACTAGATACTGCAGAGATCGCCTGAGAGAAGGTTGACCTCTGAGATCTCTTTCAGCTCTATGATGTCATAAAATATAAATATATTGATGCTCAGACAAAATTAACTGTTCACAGACATTTTACACTACCATTTCCAGTTTTCAAGTGCTTACCCTCTAATACAAAGGACCTCACAATGCTGGGCAAGTGCCAATATATCGGGTATTACATTTTCCTCCTGAAGCAAATTCAATCCCCAGTTTGAAGATCCAATATTTCCCTTAAATATAAATAAATGTCAATAAATAGAAAATCAAGGAATGTTTGACAAAAGACAGTGATTTATAAATTCAGAACAGATTTTGCATAAGTGGTACACTGTTTCTACTTACATAAGTATCTACTTGAGCCATAGAAGGACATTCTTTTAAAAATATTGGCATCACTCTATTGTAGTCTGATTTTCAACTTCCGCAAGGAATATGTTTTTTAAAAATCCATTTAATCTATTTTATTACGCTAATAAAATATGGTTAATGTGGCTAAAATTACAGGCTTGTAAAATTCCCTTCTTCTACTAAAGGAGTCTTCCTTTGTAGGAGTAATCAGAACCATTGGATTCAACCCACAGGATATCATGTATAATATCCAACATTTAACATCAACAGTCCCTTTTCTGGGTTAACAACCCGAAGTGAAATGGATAAACCATAAATTTGATAATTAACAGTGTGATATCCATGATTTATTAAACAAGAAAAATGGTGCTTCTCATAATGACGCAAAGTAATTTTGGCAGCCAACTGCAGCAAGTTATTGTTTTTTCCCAGGAAATGTTTGCAATATTACCCTAATGTTTTCTTTGTGATTCAGGTAAGTTAAATTAGTTGGAAAGCTAAAGAAACTTTTTATGTTTCCCACTGGAAACAAGTAAGACACAGGGTTATTAATGTTGAAAGGCTTGTGCCAAACTTTGACAATCTTTATGTATTGGTTTAATCGACATAGATCAATGTAATCTCTAAATTTGTATAGTGAATAAAGGAGAAACCATAAAGGCTGCAGTTATTATTGTCAGACATAATTTAAAATTAATTCTTTTCCCAAAATATTTGCTTTTATTTTTTATAATTTGCATAGTTTCCTTCAAATCCTCATAGAGGAACATAAAAAGCCATCTTCTTAATGACTTTTGAAAGTCTTAAATCCTTCCGATTCATCTTCCAAACTAGAAATATAGCACAATTCTGCTGACAATTATATTTTCATTCAGAAAGCATTTGCCTTCTTCTTAGTTCATTTGTCTGTCTAAGTACAAATGTATTATTTATAAATTCCATTGATTATTTTAATTATTTAACATTTTCTTACTGGCTGCTTTTAGCATCATTTTTAGTTAAAAAACTGAAGTCTTACATGTTATTTCACCTCTCTATAGCAATTTACAAACATTTCAGAATAGAAGCAAACTGGTGATCTCCAACTGATACTTAGTTGTAGATATATATATATATTAAAAGGTAGTAAATATTTTTAACTAACCAGTGCCCAAAGAGCAGCTTTTAGTTGCTTAATCCCCTCCCATTTTTCCAGCATAGGGGAACGGATAGTGTAACTCAGGTCAGGAACAATACTCTAAACAACAACGACAAAAACAACAACCACAGTGCAATTTAATTTATTTATCAAGTGTTCAATTCTGTTTTCATATGACAGCAGTGCTAATGTTTATGCTTTTAATCACATTTTCACATCTTGTAGAGGCAAAACAATGTCACTGCAATGGAGGCCATCTATTTCTGCAGACTAAAGAAATTGGGATTATCAAGGATGAAGGAGCAAGAAGCTGAAGTATTTCTTCTTAGCCTTATAAATTAATCCTCAGCAATTATTCCCATCAGTTAAAAGGAGAGAGCGCATGCATGAATTCTGGCAACTGTTTAACCTTATATGTGATTTCACAAATCCTGACTTGCTTATGGAATCAATGCTGGGTAAGTCAAGTCAAATTGCCTTGTAGCGTGAATTATGCTACATACTTCCGAATAAGTAATAGGCAAATAAATGTTAAAGATAGTGAAAAGAGTATAGCATTTAATTAATACTAATTTATTTGAATCAATTACATTAAATTTTCTCACCTGAGCTTCCAACAAATGACAGCCAGTTTTGTGGTGCACTAGTTGGCCATAGAGGTGAATTGGCAAATAAACATGTGGCCGCTGTAATCTGTGGGGAAGAAAAATGATCGGTTTGCATTAAATTAATTCTAACAATTTTAAAACCATTTGCATAACTACAGGCATTGCTTTAACAAACGAGTCAGTTATTTTACCTTTGGTTGCTCCGACGAACATAATTATCACCATCAACAGGTTTGCGGTACGTAGTAAGTGCTTCATTTAATTGTTCTTCTATCAAGTCGACATATTTTAAATTGTATTCCTAGGATATAATGGAATACAGAGGTCTTCAGAAAAACATTTTCTCTAGCAATAAATTATTTTTATAAACACATTACAAAAAAATGTTCCTAACACCAATATTTTATCATGCTCACTGGAAGTTGATTTTATGATCAAAATACTTTAAAAGAATGTCTCTATGAGAGACAACAAGATTGAGCAAGATCAATACAATGCAATTTTCATTGGTTCAGGTTCACAACTTTACAAAAGTAAGCCTGACTATCCTATACAACTCTTCTATTTGATTATATATTTATTTTTCTATAATCAATTGGAATAGTTGGCATCAATGATAATGCCTCTCCATTCATTTGTTACAGCAGGATGTTCATCATGCAAAGTAGTCAAAGGATAAGTTCTCCTATTATTAAACCCACACAGCTTCTTTCAGTAGGACAATACTTCCACAGGTTATGTGGAAATGTTAGTTTAGTTTCAGCAAGCACTTCTAATGAAAGGGGTAGTTTTGGATAGGACTAATTTGGAGAATGTGGATCAAATGTAACTTTTAAAAATTGCTTTGTCTTTAAATCCCTCACTTTCCTCCTTCCATCCAAACAATATTACATGTGATTTACCTTCAAACAATTTTAATACTATGGGTGAAACTTGAAAAATTAGAATATCATGGAAAAGTTCATTTATTTCAGTAATGCAACATAAAATGTGAAACTAATATATGAGATAAGACTCATTACATGCAAAGCAAGATAGTTTAAGCTGTGATTTGTCATAATTGTGATGATTATGGCTTACAGCTTATGAAAACCCCAAATCCACAATCTCAGAAAATTAGACTATTACATGCAAGCAATAAAACAAGGATTGTACATAGAACAATATCGGACCTCTGAAAAGTATAAGCATGCATATGTACTCAGTAGTTGGTTTGGGCCCCTTTTGCAGCAATTATTGCCTCAATGTGGCATGGCATGGAAGCTATCAGCCTGTGGCACTGCTGAGGTGTTATGGACCAGGATGCTTCAATAGTGGCCTTCAGCTCTTTTTGCATTGTTCAGCCTCATGTCTCTTATCTTTCTCTTGGCAATGCCACATAGATTCTATATGGGGTTCAGGTCAGTCGAGTCTGCTGGCCAATCAAGCACAGTAATCCCATGGTCATTGAGCCAGGTTTTGGTGCTTTTGGTAGTGTGGGCAAGTGCCAAATCCTGCTGGAAAATGAAGTCAGCATCCCCATAAAACTCGTCTGCGGAAGGAAGCATGAAGTGCTTCAAAATCTCCTGGTAGACGGCTGCGTTGACCCTGGACTTAATGCAGCACAGTAGACCAACACCAGCAGATGACATGGCTCCCCAAATCAACAAAGACTGTGGAAACTTCACATTGGACTTCAAGCATCTTGCAGTGTGTGCCTCTCCATTCTTCCTCTAAATTCTTGCTCTCATCAGAAAAGAGGACTTTGGACCAATGAGCAACAGACCAGATCTGTTTTTCTTTAGCCCAGGTAAGACGTTTCTGATGTTGTTTGTTGTTAAGAAGCGGCTTGACAAGAGGAATACAACATTTGAAGCCCATGTCCAGGATCTGTCTGTGTATGGTGGCTCTTGATGCACTGACCTCAGGCTCAGTCCACTCCTTGTGAAAGTCCCCAACACTTTTGAATGGCTTTTTCCTGACAATTCTCTCCAGGCTGCCGTCATCCCTGCTGCTTGTACACCTTTTTCTTCCACTCTTTTCCCTTCCACATAACTTTCTATTAATGTGTTTTGATACAGCACTTTGGGAACATCCAACTTCTTTTGCAATTACCTTTTGAGGCTTTCCTTCCTTATGGAGGGTGTCAATGATGGTTTTCTGCACAACTGTCAGGTCAGCAGTCTTTCCCATGACCGCGATTCCTATTGAACTAGACTGAGAGACCATTTAAAGGCTCAGGAACCCTTTGCAGGTGTTATGACTTAATTAGCTGATGAGAGTGGGACACTTTGAGCCTAGAATATTGCACCTTTTCACAATATTCTAATTTTCTGAGATTGTGGATTTGGGGTTTTCATGAGCTGTAAGCCATAATCATCACAATTATGACAAATCACAGCTTGAACTATCTTGCTCTGCATGTAATGAGTCTATCTCATATATTAGTTTCACCTTTTAAGTTGCATTACTGAAATAAATGAACTTTTGCACGATATTCTAATTTTTTGAGTTTCACTGTATATTACTTTTTAACATGGGCTGGCAAATAATTCTGATTTTGTGGACCACTGAGTCTTATACCCCCAGGAGTCCTAAGACCACACTTTAATACTGATCTAAGAAGATTATATTCTAAGAACGATATTCTAAAACTACAATTTTTATAAAAATTAAATACTAAGTATAATTAAAACTGTTTTAAGATTCTGCAAAATTTTCATGCACTACTCTTTTAAAATTGAGCTTGTGTACAAACTCAATCACTTGAGGGATGACTCATACCCTGGACGGCATTTCTTTACCCTCCTACCATCTGGAAGGAGGTATAGAAGCATAGCCAGCTGCACAAACAGGCTGAAGGACAGTTTCTATCCATGGGCTGTCAGACTCCTGAATGCGAAATAACATCATAACTACATAGTGCGATGGACTTGCAGGGCCGGCGCAATGTGTAACATGTTCACACTGGTGCGATAGGATTGGGTCCTTATTAATATGATTTATTGGGTTAGGGATTTTCTGTCTTTACTGAGAATTGTATTGTGTTGGGGGGGGGGTGCACTGAGGGAGCTCAACCAATCTCATTGCACATATATTGTACACTGACAAATAAATTATTATTATTATTACCCTCCAAGAAATGGCTGTCTAAAATTTTAATTTGAATATTGTTAATGCCACTAAACTATTTATTCAAACTGATTAACCAAGGTAAATTTTAAGTATAATTTTTCCAAACATCAGCACTTCTAAGCACAAGAAGTCACATGGAAGGAGATGAATACGTACAGGTGGTATCCTTGCTTAACAGAATTGGAACCAAAATTTCCATCCTTAAATGATGTGGTTTTTAGCTATATATCAAGTTAGGACACTGTTTAGTGACAGAATATTCAATAGTCCTGTTTTTGGTCATCAGACTAGAACTGCACTGTTGTTAGGCAAGGGTCTTGTGCTTTTCCTGCCTGCCATGCTCCCCTCTGTTTAAACTCCCCCCCCCCCAACTCTCGCCATGTCTGCTGTTTTGGCCACCCTGCTGTTTTCTTCCTCTTACTGCCATCATAACTTCAAACAGTCTCTGAATGAATGGTTGTTAAGTGAGCACTACCTGTATTTAAAATTATTCTGAAATCAATGCATTGATAGTCTTCCTTACGAACACTTGTGTCCCTAATATTTGCTGGTAACAAAGTAGGCTCAGGTAAAGACGCAGCCTTCCATCCTTCTGAGGTGGGTGAAATGAGGACCCAGAGTGTGTGGGCAATTTGCTGA